TATATATATATATACTTTTTATTATTTGTGTATAATAAAAATTGATTAATTATTGTTTTAGTTCTAGGACAAATTTCATTTTCACACCTAAAATAAATCATCTCCTACAAGCCTCTCATTTATGAAAATGTGTTGCATATGATTCGTATCTTTCATAAGATCTTATTTACTTTTGATCTAATAAAAAAATGATATATTGTAAATAAAAGTAGAAAAGAAGCATGAAGCATGATAGATGTAATTTAAAGTAATTTTAATAAAATAAATTTAAAATTAAATACACAAATTATGTAAATATAAAAGAAACAATGTTAAAAAAAATTAACGATAGAAACTAAAATATTACAAAACTGCAAGTTTAAAGACTAAAAAATTAATTTTAAACTACATAGACCGAAGAATTAAAAAGGATAAATATAAAAACTAAAAAAATTTATTTTTAACTATAGGAAAAGAAAATATTTTAACCTTACATATAATATATTTTTATAAATGAACAACAAAATAAAATTAATTTTGATTTGAGGGACTGAGAATAATATTATCCTTTTTAATTTATATAGAAACTAAAAACAATAGGAAAAAAATTAGATTCTACGACTATTAAACTTCTACACGATCTTAATCATCTAATGAAAACAAAGGCCAACAGATTTAGGTTCATGATATATATACCTCCATTTTTTTATAAGAACATCTCTTTCTTTTAAAAAAATTATAAAATATTATAATTTTCTTAAAAAAATTTAATTTTATACTTTTAAATTTCAATTTGTTACTTTAATCTTCTTATTCACACACTTTTTTTTTTCTCTTTCAATTTTCACATGTTATCAAAATAAGTGGAGTGAAGGAAAAATAAGAGAGTGCATGTAAAAATTAAAAAAAAAAAAAGAAAGATATGTGAAAAAAAAGTACTAAATTAAATGTTGTAGATATAAAATTAAAAAATTTAAAACAAAAAATTAAGAATATTTTAAAATTTTAATTATTTGTTTTTAAAGGATGTGTACTTTTAGAAAAAAGGAGGTGTAAATATCAAGAACCTTTATTTCGTTCACACCCAGCAAGATCCATCCAATGTTAGTTGGGCCTGGGCCTGCATTTGGGCCTGGGCCTGCATTTGGGCCTCCAGTATCACTAAACCGAATATATATAACCATTCACCTCCTCCTAAACGACGCGCGTTTTGAACGCAAGTTTGTCAATCCGTAATGTTTTGTTTTTATTTTCCGATTCAATAATTTGGCAGCAATTAAACGGCAGTGCGTTTCGTTCCTTCTCTCTGTCTGGTTAACAGAGCAACCTGAGATCCAATCACGTTCATTCATTTCATTCTTTTGCACCGTTCGCAACACGAAGAAAGAACGAACACTATGTCTGCGACGATGGTGGCGCATTCGAGTTCTTGGGCCAGAGCGCTCGTCGCGATCTCGCCCTACACCTTCTCCGCCATCGGCATCGCCGTCGCAATCGGCGTCTCCGTCCTCGGCGCCGCCTGGTAAGCCTTCGATCTCCGTTTTCCGTTTCCTTTTCCGATACCGGTATTCTCACGTGCGAGTTCGCTTCGGTGACACGTGCAGGGGGATTTACATCACCGGTAGTAGCTTGATCGGCGCTGCAATTAAGGCTCCTCGAATCACTTCCAAAAATCTCATTAGGTAAAATTAATAGTGTTATTTTTTTTATTTTTGCACGGTTTATGTTTTTCTTTTCGCGTTTAAAATCGGAGTCTGTATTTGTATTTATATTTAATTTAGGTTTTTTATTGTTCTTTCTTTTCAGTAATTTTTGTTGTACTGTATGAGGTTGGTGAGAAATTTTACGTTGTTTATGTTGATTTGACGTTGGTTTCTGTAGGGATATGTTAGATGTGTTTGGTTAGAGAGGATAGTTAGTTTGCTTCGGTTGAGGATTGGAAGTTGGAGATGAGTTTTTAGTTTAGTTATGCCTTGAAGTCCAAATTCTAAGACCAGCTTTGTAATAAGTTTTGCCATGAATGATACTCTAGTGTGTTATCACCGATTTGATCATAATTTTGGTGGTGGCATATCCTCAACTTAGAGTCGGCATCATCCTTCTTCGAATTACGTTTTTCCACCGCATGATTATCTTCAGTTCCATTCCGGCACTACCTTGACTTAATCAATTTCAATCTCCAATGAAGAATTAATACAGAGGATCTAATCCTCAAGTTCTATTTCTCATTATACAAGCATGGCCCATACTGAAGTTGGTCTTTTAGTTCCAGCTTTGTTTGTTTATTGCGACAATCAAAGTGAAGCCAAATAATGTCATAATCTTGTGCTATATGCCCACACTAGGAACATAGAATTAGACATCCCTTTTGTTCGTGAAACTGAAAAGATGTGGAACAAGTCTCTGGTTGTCTCTCATGTCCTTGCTGCAGATCAAGTTAATGATGTGCTCACCAAGTCACTCTCAGCTCAGATTTCAGCTTCTTGGAGGCAAAGTCAGTGTGCTTCCTTCCACATGCAACAGGCATGCTTCCACTCTTGAGTAAACCATGAGAGATCTCCCAGGATTTGTGAGCTGTTGTAATGATGAAAGTGAAATAACTAAATAATGGAATTTTATTGCAATTTTCTCTCGATCCAGGATCTATATTTTGATCTTAGAGACAAAGTTCTGGTGAGAATTACAAAAGTCTCTCTCCCTTGTTTGCTCCCCCCTCTTCCTTCCTCAAACTCTGTCATATCATGCACTCTCCACCTCATTTCCATTCTCTTATTTCACTCTTTTTCCCAGCTACTTCAATTAGAGGCCCCATTTCCCCTCGTTATACCAACTCGTTCAGTTAGAGAGGTCACTAACTATTAACTGCATTAACAGAAACTATCACAGGCTTTGTACTTCTTTCTTCACCTCTATTTCACCTAAATACACTTAAGTGGGGGATTATTAACACTCACCACTGCTAAAACTGAATTATATTAAAACGGACTCTAAAGTATCTCTTAACTGAGGAAGGGGAGTGTTATTTATAGAAAAATAGTTGGGGGGAGGGGCAGTGTATTTATGCATTTCTCAAAGGAGAGTGTAATTTACCCTCTAGAATTTTAATGAAGCACCCTGAATACATATTTATAAAGATCAGATGGTACTTACCGTATCTTCTCCAGATATCACACGTCTTTTTCAGTTCCTGCAGTCACTACTCCACCTTCAGAAGCATCTGAGTTGCCTTTGCCATTTCTTTTATTTTCTGCATCGTGAACTAGTAAGTTGGAAAAGCATTAACGGATTCATAAGTTGTTACCCCTCTGTTTTGTGACATATTAACCCCAAGGATGGAAATTATATGACAGAGACAACAGCAGATTGTTGAACAGATTATGAAGGGCATAGCATGACCAATACAGCTAAATGCAAGAAACACTATATATAACCTGCCAAGAGAAATGAAGCAGGTATAATTTCAAGATTCTGAAAAATCAGAAGATTAACTGCAAGAAAGAAAGAGTATACCTGTACAAGTTAGGATCTTTATCTGCAGATGAATGTCCCCCAAAGATCCATACATTTCCAACAACAAACCGCACAGCAAAATCCCAATCTAAAGATATTTTGAAGTATTCCACTAGTGTCTTCATTCTGTGGTGCAATGAACAAGGGGGGCTTAGCAGCTTTATAAGATATTACAAATTTCAATACTTGGAAGTTGAAACAATGAATGAGACAATACATTAAAAATTCAAATCTTAAACCTTAATGCAACAAAATATGAATGCACATTAACTTACTATTACTCAAAAGACCGAAGAAATAATTTTGACACATTCATTCACCACTAATAGTTGCAAAATTCAAACTTTTGATTACACCAAAAACAGTGACACAATGCACAACAATGTCAATACGACCATATTTTTATCAGCAGTTGAAGGATGATTGCACATTTATATATGTTTTACATTAAACTGAGACAAAGATCAGTGAAGATTCAAAGCATAGTTCAAAGAAATCCATGGTTCCCATAGTTTCATTGGCTTGAAAGGGATGTAACACTAGAAAAAGACATGGAGGCATAGGCTTGTTAGTTGATGTTAAGAGGAGAGGATTGGGCAGATTTGTGTTATTATTAGAGCTTGCAAATTGCAATTGCATAGTAGTGGTTCACAATTTTCACACACGCACAAAATCAAGGTTGTCAAACTCGAGAGTCTACACAAACTCGTGGAGCTCTCGTAGACTCGACTCGTAGACTCGTAAGAATCTACATAATAGTAAAAGATATTAAAAAAAATACACAAAAAAAATATGATATTAATATTTTACAATTATAAGTCTGAAATAAGTCAAAGAACAACAATAAAATGTCATAATACAAATCTTAACCATACATGAACAACCAAAAGTCGAAAACACATAAGTCCACAAATCAAAAATTTTCATAATTAGAATTTTAACTTCTTCCAGTACCACTGCACATGGTTCAGAATCTTCTCTAGTGCCAGCAAGGTGACGCTTAAATCTAAAAATTCCCCCACTGACAGTTTTTGTGCAATAGTTGCACTTCACCTTTTTTCCATTGCCTAGAACATCTGTCCCATGCTTCCAACCCATGTCAGTCCTATTTCCAAGGGCATTTTTCCTTGCTCTGGAAGAAGAAATTGCATTGCTTGAAGACTTTGAGCCACCACCGGTTTCAGACATCTTGCAATTATAGGAGTAAGAGACTAAGTATGTAAATTGTGAATAACACCAACAAACCAAAAAATCAAAAAATGTTAAGAGTCAGAACTGAGAACTAACACTCACGATGACACTGGAAGCTGCAATGAGGCGTTCGTATGCGGCAGAAGATGCGGCGGAGGGAGAGAAAACAGACTCGCGTCCTTCCCAGATGCACGTTCGTATGCGGTGGCGTTCGATTGCGGCACCGTTCGTAGCGGCGGAGACGTGCGTTCGCAGCGGCGGAGATGCGCGTTCGTAGCGGCGGAGACGCGCGTTCGCAGCGGCGGAGATGCGCGTTCGTTGAGGCGGAGCTGCGCGTTTGTTGCTGCAGAGATGGGTGTTCCAATGGTGCGGAGGGAGACTCAAAAATGTGAGAATGGTGAAGGAAGCTCGCGCGCAGGGAAAATGGTTTTCTCACTAACTAACCCTAGGCAAAAACGACGTCGTTTTGGGCCATTTAGGGCTAAAAAAAAAAACGTACCCAGACTCGTGGACTCGGGCTTAGACTCGCGATTCTGACCGAGTCTACCCGAGTCTACCCAAAAACGAGTCTATTCGCGAGTCAACTCGTTTTGTTACCCTGGACTCGTAGACTCGTACGAGTTGACTCGCGAGTTTGACAACCATGCACAAAATATAAAAAAAAAAAAGGTGGTGTTAATTTTAATATGTTTTGCTTGCTTACCCCAGTTTTTTTTTTTTTTTTTTTTTTTAATTCTTCTGAAGGGTTGTGTTCTTTTCTTCTGAAAGGAAATAAGAAAGGTATGATAAAATAGTCTTTGATGATGAATCAAACTAGAACTGCTCTTTTGTCAATTATGATACCTATGATTTTAGCTGTAAGTGTGATGTGATTTTACTATCGTTTGGGCATTATTTTTTGGCTAATATTTAATGATAATCTTTCTTCATCATGTGTAGTAAGTGATCATACAATCCGAAGCTAGTGGTTGTTCATTTTAGCCATAAAACCTTCGGGGCTATTGCTGATACTTTTGTCGCTTTCTTCATAGTGCACGATTTGTCTCAAGTATGGTAGAGCTTTTAGTTTTATAAGCTCTGTCAACAATATTTGATTGTAAGCTGTTTTGAATGCACAATAAACTAATCCAAACATACTTGATCATATAATAATGATTCATTGACTCAACTTAAATGGTAAAATAACATTGGTACACCCTGATTTTAATGAGAACTTCAAAATCGTCATTTTGAATGTCTGATCTTAAGATTGTTATGTTTGTGTTGTGAACGTTAATGTTTTTTTTTGCATGTATTATCTGCATAAAATATCCTGGCATAGCTGATATAGTTCCAAATTTCGAGTATAAACATTTGTGCCATCTTGACAATATGGTTCTTGATGTTTGCGGTATTTCAGTGTAATCTTCTGTGAAGCTGTTGCTATATATGGTGTTATTGTGGCTATTATTCTTCAAACAAAATTAGAAAGTGTTCCTACAGCAAGTATCTATGCACCAGAGTCTCTGAGGGCTGGATATGCAATCTTTGCTTCAGGACTAATAGTGGGCTTCGCAAATCTTGTTTGTGGGTGTGTATTCTTTTTTACCTACCTCTCGTGACTTTGCAGGAAATTCTCCTGATGAATGCACGGGGCAAATTTTTCCATCCTGCTATTAACATATTAAACTTTTTTTCCTCTGGCAGGTTGTGTGTAGGAATAATTGGAAGCAGCTGTGCATTGTCTGATGCCCAGAACTCTTCCCTCTTTGTGAAAATTCTTGTGATTGAGATCTTTGGTAGCGCACTTGGGCTATTTGGAGTTATTGTTGGAATTATTATGTCAGCTCAAGCAACATGGCCATCAAAAGTTTAGTTTCCCTTGTATCAGAATGTGGTGTGGGAATGCAATTATGGTAGAGCGCCATGTATCTTGTGTACTGCCAGGGATTAAAATTTTCTGTTTCCTGTTGGTAGAAATGTAAAATCCAGCGTAATAGCTTGCCTCCATTACTACTTTAGGCTGTATTATTTACCAATGAGTTGTTAGAAGGTCTTGTGTATCATCAGATATATCGCTCTGTTGGTTGAATTTCAATATTTTTGGACGACTAAATCTTTCATTAATTAATAAGAAAAGTGAATTTATTTGGGCTTGTGAATAAAGTCAACAAGCAGTTTTGTGGAATTGTGGGGTCTCTATTTGGTTCCTCAGATGTGCCAGTGAAGCTCGTTTCTTCTGATGTGTAAGAACAACGTTCATGTTTAATATTGGGATTGAAATGCATTTGTGTTTAACAGGGATGTGTATGAGATCAATACGATGTTGGGACGTGTAAAAAAAGCACAAAGTTTTCTTCAATTGAACTTAAGTATTCGTGTATTTATCGTAACTCTTCATTTGTTAGGGCAAGTTTAATGGTTTGCGCCATACTAATTTGATAGAATGGCATCTGAAAAGTTTGCATTGATTAATAATTATTGTCTCATTAAAGTAAACCTTTATTTTCCTATGTATGGATACTCTTATTTTATGGAAAAAAAGTTATGATAACTTAATGTATTTAAACCGTTGGATTTGTAATAATAAATTAGATTGTGGCATGTGTATATTTAAGTTAAAATATTTATTGTACATGTGTCACAATCTGATTTATTTTTATAAATTTAATGATTTAAATGTATTAAGTTATTGTAATTTTCATATTTCAAACCTAGAGAATCTAAATCCGTTGTTTTTCTCTCTGCTGGCACAGCGTTATTTAATGAACAATTTGAAATTTTTTTTTAAATATAAGTTTCACCAATCGTTAATATGCGATTGGTTTTTGTTTTGCAACTCAAGCGGAAGAAATAGTTTCAGAAAGGTTGTTATTACGAGTGTTCGTCTGAACATATTGTTCCCAATAATGATTTTCTGAATAATATTATTAAATGACAATTAACCGCCCTTAGATATATAATTTAGGCTGTAGTAAACTTCAATTATTGGTTTATTTTTAAAATGTTAATACTCTTTTATGAGTCTTATGATTAAAAGGTAATTAAGGGTCCTTTGGTTTAAAGCGGGAAAAAGATAAAAGGGATTTTAATGGAGAGGAAGGAAGGAGAATAGAGGAAATGGAAGAAATTAGAAAGTTTATTTGGTTGGTTGAGAGGAGAGGAGAGGAGAAGGAGAGGTAATAATTCTTTATTGTTTGGTTCACAGGAGATGGGAAAGAATTTTAAAAATTAATTTATTTTTATATTTTTATAATTTTAAATTTAATAATATAAATAAAGATATTTTGGATATTATATTAAAATGTTTTAAAATTATCTCTCTTTAGAACCCCTCAATAATGGAGGTAAGTTAAAATTGGGTCATGAAAGATTTTATCCCCTTTTCTACTCCTCTTTAAAAATTGAACCAAATAAGAAAATTTTTTAAAAATCTCTTCTCTCCATTCTCCTTCCACGAAATAAACAATGAACAGTTTTAGTACTAATTTAGATTTAGTTGCATATCCGAGTATTAATTTAGTTGTCTTTACACCTAATGAACTAATTTCGATAGAACTGGAGCATATAATGAGATCTACATGCAAAGAGCAGTTTTAGTAATATAATCTTTAACGCATTCTTTTTAATATCCTCTACAAACAGCTTAAGATCTTTCTTTCCTTAAGATCTGGTGTCACATGTTAGGTTGAATTGGAGAGAAATACCCATCATAATGATGCCATCAACAAATACAGTATCAATTAAACAGTTTAAGAAAATGTTAAGCATTACATACTTGAACCAAATCAAAGAATGATCCAGAGTGCTTTAATCTTTCAATTCCAGCAAACTATGGGGCAGAAATGTAGTGGTACTAGTGAAGCTATGTATTGAATGGTGTCATGATAAAATTGTGAGGGATAAGAATCTCGTACATAACCTCAATTCCATAATCTTAATATTGCTGATCATTATACTTCCATAATCAACTTTGTTAAGAAGATAAGAATTTTTTTGTTTTATATTTTGCATGCGGGTACTCCACTGTTGGTTCTATTTTAAAAGTAGTAATTTTCTGCTTTTGTTTTGAAAATTAAATGCATTTTGTTCTTTATGAATAAATCTTGTGATGAGATGCCAAATAAATTTCCTTTGGTAATAAAATTATTTCTAGGTACCAAAATAAAGTTTGGAGCTTAAAGGCAACACATCAGTCATAGGAATCACTTTATCAGTGTGCAAATAGTTGCATTGATAGTAAGTAAGAAATGTATTTTCAATGCAGTGCTAAAATTTACGACTATAGGCAATCAACTTGGGGAAGAATTGAAGCAAGTATCGAAGGCACATCATTGAAAAAAGGAGTGTTGCTTTGTAGAAGTTCCTCACAGTCCTCTTTCTTGGCTGATTTGGGGTTAAGGGGTTCTCTATCAGGCACAACCAAACCTTGTTTTATACGACCTAGACGCCTTGCATGAAGAACTTGCTTTGAAGTTTCTGGTAGTCTAATGAACTGATATTCTTCCAAAGCTGATCTCACTTTTTCTGCTCCAAACTTCTCAAGGCATTTGCCTAACACTGCTGCATCTAATATTGACATGTTTGTGCTTCTAAGGCAGTGAGGAGTTGTAGGGTGAGCTGCATCTCCTACCAATACCACATTGTCCCAAAATATCTTCTCTAAAGGATCACTATCATATATGAAATTTAAGAAAGGGTCCCTTGTTTCTTTTATGACCTTTACCAACTCAGGAATCCAAACTTTTTCTGCTTCTTGGTGCATCTTTTGGATCATGTCACTGTTTACTTTCATTGTCACTGATGTTCCCTGAAAAAAAAAAAATGCCCCCTAATATCAAAATATAATCAGCACTAGATGATGTGGCAACAAAAGGAATGATGAATACCCTCTAGATTTGAGATCGAGCGTCTTTTTGGACAAACTTCTCTAGAAGCACTTTTAAGAGAGATAAAACAAAGAAAAAATGAAATAAATTTCTTCATGAACTAAACCTAGTTTATGCATAAACTAATTAGTAGAAGTTTACTCCTATAAGCTTCCCCAATATCTTATTTTTAACTTGTTCATAAACTAGTTTTAGCTTATGAAGAAACTTATTTCAATTTTTTTTCCTATTTTTTCCTCCTAAAAGTACTGATAGAGAAGTTTAGAAATATGTTTTGAGGAGCAAAATGACATAAAAATAAAACATCACGAATATTATCAATGAAGGGTATCTCAAAATAAAAGTATAGGATGAGAGGAAAAAAGTTACCTTGACTTCAGGCTCTGGCTGATTCACATACCAAATCCAATTGAGCTTTTTGTTCAGCAGCTCATACAACACACTGTGTGTACCTGAGGCCAAGTCAAAGTACAAGCATTTTCCTAGATCAGGATATGCCTTTCTCATACCAATAATGGTTTCTGAATTCTCAATTTTTGAAAAATCAAGAACCCCTCTCCATGCACAATAGCCTGAATATCTGTAAAAAATACTAGAGCTTTAGAGGACCTTTTTCAGATTGAAGGATTGAGAAAAAAACAATGTTAGCTACATTTTGAAATACAAACCTGAGTTTAAAATGAGGGAGATATTTGTGGCGGATGGAAGAGAGACAACCATCTGCTGCAACAAGCAAATCCCCTACTATCTCTATAACCTTGCCACTTTCTAGAACCTCAGCCTTTACTATGACAGAACCCTTATCATCAGCAACATGGAAAGAGAGAAAAAGGTGACCCCATAAAAATACATTTGATGGCAATGCATTGTACAAAAGGCCATGAAGATCAGCCCAATGTGCTGCTCTGAAATTAAAACTCTCATCTCTTGTCAATGTGCAGCTAACCTTCTTCTCACTATCAGTTGCATGGTTCTGCCAAGGTAAAATAATAACAAGTCCCTTTTTTGGTGAGAAAAACCATGGTAGTTGAATCGGGATATAATTTTGTGCATCTGAAAGCCTATTTTCTGAATCATTAATTGGTGCATCAGAAAGCTTATTTTCTGAATCATGAATTGAATCGTAATGTGAGTTAGAAGATTCATAATAATAATAAAAAAAATAATATATATATATATATGACATATAAGAAGTGTTCCTTCAGTTCCTTTTCATTTAACAACTTAAGCTTATATGACTTTTCATTTTTCACGAGAATTGGTGAAAGAAAGGTAAAATAATAATAATAATAATAATAATAATAATAATAATAATAATAATAATGAATCATATGATTCGTATCATTGATGCGAAATTACATAGATTCATTCATGTATCTTAAGATACAAAATTATTGATCTTGAGACACGAATTGGTAGGTTGTTAAATTAATAATAAGATTTTCTGATAACTACAAGGAAAACTACAGCTTCTCTTAGGTTTTCTGCTTCAGCCATACATCAAGATTTAAAGGGCTCCTTTCATTGGCTTATCCTTGGAAAATTCCTTAGCAAAACGTACTAGCGCTCATTCAGAGAAACACATGATCAAGTTAATTTCATCATTCTCTTGTTCCTTGATCTGTTAAATGGCATGTGTGGAGAACAATATCCACTTCAGATCATCAACAAATCTTTATCAGAATTTAGAGAGACTAGTTGAATTAATTTAATATTTGGCAAGATAATTACATATACCTGAGAAACTCAAGCTGATCACTCATAATTAAAACATAGCTTAGGGACTCCACACTCTAGCATAAAAAATGAGTAAGAGAATACCTTACCTAGAGACAATGAGACAGCTTTAAAGAAGAAAAAAAGGACAATCTTTTTTTTAAAAAAATAGAAAATTAAGGGTGGATGTTGTTGGAAATATTTTGTAAAAAACATAGAAATATTGAACCTCGCAAAGAAAAATTAAAATTAAGACTATAGATGAAAAATTGTCATTAAAATTCATTAAAAACGAATGCTTATATGCAGAATTAGAATCAATTTAAAGTTCTCCATAAGTTTCATATACTAACACCCTTAGTTCTTGAGATTACATTAACTAACCGAAATCAAAATATAAAAGATAAAACTGAAAATATAAGAAATTCTATCTAAAATTTATTCAAAATGTAAATAAGGCAAAATCTCATAAATCTAGCATAAGTTGAAAAGTAAGTAATACAAATGATGAAACCAAAAAGGGGTGGCACCTGGTCAATGGTGAGTGGTAAAGTGGTGTTGTGTAGGAGTTGTTGTGAGTTATGAAGCCATGAGTTAATGATTTGTTGGGAGAAAGAGTTGAGTCCAAGACCTGCACCAGTGGGGCTTCCAGTTGGAGGTGAGGTGGTTTTCTCAAGCACAAGGACATCCCAACCAGCTAAGGTAAGGGCATGTGCACTTGATATCCCTGCTATGCTTCCTCCAACAATCACTGCCTTTGGTTTTTCTCCTTCACCAACCATTTTTTTCTATTCAAGCACCAAATTATCACACACATGACATACATGTATGTGTATGGTCCATATAACTCAAATTACTGAACAAGATAGTTGTGATGAACTACCCTTCTGATGATCTTTTGGAGTTGGAGAGGATCTAACTGGATCGAACCTGGCTAACAAAAGCCCATTTATGATGCTCATTGTTTAGTCCAATCCAATAGAAAATTTATCGTTGACAGTGAGAAATTATATTTTTGGCAGATTGTTATATGAGAAATGCTAGCTCTTTTTAGCATTATTTTTTATTATTATTATTTGAAGTTTATTAAAATTAAATATTTTGTAAGTTCGAGTCTGATTTAATCAACAATTTGTAATGGTTATTTTTTACTTGTTTGACGAGAGTTATATTTTATTATTTTATTGAATTATTCTCTATAGTAGTGAGATATTGTTGATTTTGAATTTTGAATTTTACAGTTTTATTTTTTATTATCATTTTAAAAATCTTTTAGAACATATATATTTTATTAACTTATTTTTCTTATTATTTTAACGTTGTGAGACTTTTTTTTAATCTCTATCAATTATATGAAACTTTGTTTATAACTCACAATTGTATTGAACATTATTTCTATGCCAACAAAATTAACCGTAGAAATATGAATAAAATGAAAATATTACCTTTTTTTTTATAGGATTCGATATTTGGTAATCATGAATGTACAATTCAGAAATCAAATTTGTATTCTTAATTAAAAAGTGAATTACTTCTACTAATTTACACATCTATTTGTTTTGTAAAATTTTGATTTACACTTTTTGGCAAGGGACGGAGACAGAAAATATCGTCATGGAGGCAAAAATATTATGAGGCGTATCTACTTGCCCATTTAAAAAAAAGGTTGTTATTCCCTTCAGTTTTTTTTTTTATTAAGAATCAAATTAGAAATTTGCCTTTATCTTTTTTATAAGAATTAATATAAAAAAAATTATTTTTAATTTTTTTTATAAATACTCTTAAGACTTAAATATGTTTTTAGTTGTCATCGCAGATCGACACAAATAGTTTACGATCCAATCTAAACTTGTGTTCTTATAACGCGAGTTTAATACTCCTACTACTATTAGAATCGTATATTGATGGGTATATTATCTCAAGAAGACCCTTTGGTGCCGAAGGTAAGAGTCTTTATTGATCATCAGTTCGGAAAATAAAATCCTGAGCCAAACTAAATATTATTGAACTTTGTCTAATCACTAAGTAGACATAGGTGTATTGAACTTACCTATGTTGAGATGATGGAGATCATTAAGATGACTTGAAAACTCCTCAAGAAGTTTTAGTTTTGATGATGTTAATGTATAGGTGATGTTTGAGCCTATGCAAAAAGATATTGTATTGATTGTAATAGATATAGGCTTGTATGTGTGTTTGTTTATGTTTGATGATGATAATGAATGCTTAATTCAAGAACTAATCAAGTTTTTTAAGAAACCAAGAATTTGATTTTTTTTAGTATTTTCATGAGTAAACATAAAGTAATAAATTATCTTAAAAAGGGTAATTTACTGCCAAGTGTTTAAACATAGAAATATGACTTGATTCAAACAATAATCTTCAAGGTAACATTGTTAATCAATTACCGTTCAGGAAAATAGATTACCAACTCTGTTATTGGAAAAAGATATTCAAATGTCCTCTGTGTTAATAGATTACCACGTTTGTTACTAGAAAATGTTTTTCAAGTACTCTCTAAAGTAATAGATTATCAAAGTTAGTAATAAATTAAAACAGACTCTCTTGCTCGAGAAAAGGCTAAAGAATCAAAGTTTTTGTTGTATTAATCGATTACCACTAGAAATAATCGATTACCACAGAATGAAAGGCAATCCTGGATCTTAAAAAGCTCGGGATAATCGATTACCATATCCCGTAATCGATTACCCTAGAGATATTTGTGTTTTTGGTTCATTTTAAAGAGTTAGTAGCAGATTAACATATCAACTAATAGGTTAGCTCTGTTATTACTCTTTATAACTGAATCACGTCTTGCACTCTATAAAATCAATCTTTTTGAAATTAAAAAGAATCTTTTAGAGAACTTTTAAAGACTTTGAAAATCTTTTGAAAGAAAAAGATTATTTTTCAGAAACAAGATTCAAGGCTTATCAAAAAAATTTTCTAAAATTTCAAGAAGTGTAAAAATAGAACATGAATTCTTGAAAGAAGAAATTCAAGAAGTGTATTCAAGAGTAAAAGATTAATATCTACACGAAATTAGGTGATATTTTTCTGATCTTTAAACTTGTATTTTCGTTTTGATTGGTATATTTCTTGAGATAGGGTGTCTCAATAAGAGATGTTGAAATCTTGAGTAAGGCTTTTTAAGTAATTTCTGTGGGGTACATAAATTTTTTTTGTTTTCAATCTTGGAGTGTCAAGATTGATGTTTGTTTGAATTCTTGTAATATTGTGTGTGCAAGGTATTTGTAAACAATATTATAGTAAATAATCTTTGATTTAGTGGGGTGCTAAATCAAGGAAAACTAGATGTATGCGAAGTGATGGCTAAACCCGTATAAATTTATGTGTTATTTATCTTCTTACCCTATTTTTAAAAAATCTTGTTAATTTCTTGTTTAAAGAATATAAAGATTTATGAGATATGAAATTTCAATTACAGTATCAATTTTGATCTTTATTCTTGTAATTAAAATTTATTAAAAAGAAGGTAATATAAAATCAACCTTGGTTACAAGTGATTGTTTTGCTACATTAACATTGATATTCTAATATGTTGGTAATAAACCTTGTAATCTTCTGTTCTGTATTGAATAAAAGTTGTATTTTAGATATCTTGATAGGTCTTTATCAAGAATTGTCGAAAAAGTGAGTCATTTTAGGATAGAATCTATTCAACCCCCTTCTAGATTCTTGTAAGCTGAGACCAATAGCCTAATTACTAAGTAGACATAGGTGTTTGGTTTGAGGGTCTTAACATGTCATTGACTCTCTATCCAGTAATTATAGGGTGTCATCCTCTATCTGCCATTTAATTTATTAAAAAAAACGTTCTTAAATCTTATAAAATGGACTTAGTTTTAGTTTTGGTTCATATAAAAAAAAATTGTTTTCCATCCTTTTACAATTTGTAAACATTGTTTTTGCTCCAGGTAAAATAAGAACATTTTGGTTTCTATCCCTCTAAAATATTTTTCTTTGATTTTCATCCATCTAAAATCACTATAATTGATCCTAATGATCATTTTTAGGTATATAAATAACTGTTGAAAATGTGACTGTTGGAAGCTGCTTCCAAACTGCATAAGATCATATTTCTATGCTATTTTTTAGGAAAATAAGTCATGTTAACCGATAAGATAAGAACTGCTTCAGTTGCATTTTTTAGGCGTTATCTAATAGGATTATCTATCTATTAAGAGCTCTTGAGTTGGTTATTTTGTTTTATAAATATATTGTTCCATATCAGAATAATACTATATTTTCCGCAATCTCAATTTATTCATTGTTTTCCTCTGATACCTAACATTTCAACAAATCTGCTTTTATAAACAAAAAAAAATAACAATAACATTTATTTTAAAGATATATAAGAAATTTTAGAGATGTTAAATACTAATAAAGTATCACACATAATTATGAATATCACTTAATTACTTAACTTTATAATAAACACATAGCCTAAAAGAATTACATACAGTTCCACATTTTGAAGGGATGAAAAAAAATATATATATTAAAAGTGTTGGAAATATTTTGTAAAAAATATAGAAAAATTGAATCTTACATACAAATTAAAATTAAAATTGAAGATGGAAAACTATCATTAAATTAACATTAAAATTCATAGAAGAGGATGCCTATGTATAGGCTTACAATCAATTTAAAATTCCTAACAAATCTCATCTACTAACAACTCTACTTGATGAGATTATATTGAATAATTGAAAATAAAATATAATAAATAAAACTGTAACAATAACAAATATTTTATCTAAAATTTATTCAAATTTTAAAATTTAAATAAAAGAAAATCTCATAAATCTAACACTCCTCCTTGAGATTTGCCATGAACATCACAAATTTTAGTTTCATGAACTCCAAAAATTGAGTTTTGAAATGCCATGTCATCAAGTTGTTGCACATCAATTTCTTGACCCAACTCATTGTCTTCATAGTCATTCAGTCTAACTCCTCCTCCTGTCTTTGAATACCATTTGTGATGTGATTCCTCTTGGAAACACATGAACTCTTCAAGCCTTCACGGAATTCCTTGGGAAAAGGCTTCAAGGAATGGAGACTCCACAAGGCTCAAGGTGACCTAAGCTAGCGTGTAGCTAACTCCAAAGAAGAATAAGATCCTAACTCTACAAGGAGAAGCACTCAAGGAGGGTAGAGAAAGGAGACAAGTGACTTCGGAGGGTTTAATTCTAGAGAGAATACAACTCATCAATATCATCCAAAGTGAGTACAAGGCTCGGCCATATAGAATATATAGGAAAAAATTAGGTTAAAGTGTTCCATGGGTTAGCCTAAGGTTAAGTAACCATGGTATGGTTACTTAACCTTAGGCGCCCAAAATTTGAATTCAAAATTCAAATTTTGGGAGCCAAACCCGGAACCTCCCATGTGATTGTCGTTTGGCATGTGATTAGCTTTTCATTTGAGTTGCATTTAGGTCACACCATGTGCATGTGTGCACATGGCCGTAAATGCTTATCAAATGCCAAGCTAATTACATGCTAATGATAATTCACATGTAACATTAATTATCCCTAAATTTCAATGGTAATCTTAATGTCTAACATTCAGATTCAATAAAATAAAATGGCCTACACTAGGGAATAAAACTACCAACTTAAAAAATATATAAATTAAATTAATATTCATATATAATTTGGTCCTCAAAACATCCAAAACATGCATATAAATTATAGATTATAAAGAATACATAAGGACGTTTCTTTTGTTTCTCATCAACCATGTTTTTGAAAAATTCTGAAAATTAAGGATCATCAGCAATACCACCTGAAGAAAAAAGAACATTATTAAAACAAAGGACAATAATTAAAATTCATTTATTATAAAATTTAACAAACCAATTGCATTCATCCTACATTGTAAAAACACTAACCAGTTTCAGTTCCATTATTAATTGTTTGTTGAAGCAAATTATTTCAATAGATCGAAACCACCACTGACATTATGCATTGTATTTTTTTGCATTAAAAAAAATTAGGTCAGTATTTAAAAATTTTACAAAACTGAAAAATACCTACAAAATTAAATACAATTTAAAATCAAACCTCAGGCTGTGTAAAAACTGGATAATGAGAATTAGCTGAAATAGATAGGCCTTGATTGTGTGTAATATATTGGGATGACAAGTATGAAAATGAAGGTGGAATAAAAATTCCTGGGGGATAAATTGAATTAACTCCACTATAAGGGGGAAAAGAAGGAACCACAACTTCGACTTTAGGGATTACTGGTGTTGCTCTACTTGTTGATGCAATTGTTAATTGCTTCTACGAATAAACAGTTAAACCCAAAAGAAAATTACTCAAACAGTAACAACACAAAAAATAAAAGAATTTCAAATTAAAGCACACAATTGATTTTTCTACATTAGAGGTTTTGACTTTCTTAATTGTTTTTTCTGATCCATTTCTTTTTTTCTTGTCTTTCGCATTCTGCAATAAAATGAAATAAAATTAGACATTAGAAATACAAATACTAACACAAAATAAATTGTAAATAACATAATAAGAATAAATTTTAGAAAATATCAACAACCTCATTTATATCATCATCATGTGTCGGATCTTCCTTCTCCTAAAAAGCAAGAATTTTGTATCACTATTTAAATTTTTTTTGTAAGGACACAAAACAAAACTTAATTGTCAAACATAATAAGATTACATTGTCATCATCAATGGATTCTGCAATTGATACATTGTCTTCATTATTTTGAATCATGTCAAGAGAACCAACAAATTTTGAACATCTCCTAATTGTGTGGCCATTGTTATTACAGTTTCTGCATCGTCTTTTCTTACCACCAAATCTTTTCTTTCTTGGAGCCCTTTTTGTCTTCACTACCATCAAATCACCAACTTCGTTGACACATGACATGTTATTGTGACTTCCATCCAGCATTTTCTCATACTTATGAGTTTAGACTTGGCACTTGGAGGTCTAAGAGTACAAATTGAACTTTGGAGGGAGGTGAGCTACTAAAGAGCCACTTAATAACCAAGCCTCTTCAAGTAAAAATCTCTAAACCCCCTTGTACGTTTGCCTTGCACAAATCAATTTTCACAAAGATCTTTTTCAAAAGAAAAATAACAAACACTTGCCTAAGTGTACAATTATATGATGCTTGAAAACATAAATGGCAAGAAAACATAAATTGCTTGAAAACTTAAATGACTGAAAACATAAATTGCTTAAAACATAAATTGCTTGAAAACTTAAAGACAAGAAAACATAAACTAGGCGTTGAAAGCAAGTAAACCTAAGTGAGAGCTTGAAAGGTACCAAAGACCTTCAAGGACCACTCTCACAAGTACTACACG